AGCCTAGCTGATTTTATTAGTTCCGATAGACGCAAAATAAGAGAACATGAGAGTTGTTTTAGTGAAGTCTGACGATGGAAATGAACCAGCGTGTAAGTATCATTGCCTGATCGATTTTTAATAAAAATACTCGACTCTGGCTCTCACAATAATTAATTCTTGTAAGTTTTCGTGCGGCTGCTTCTCACGATGATTTAGCACAATAAACCACGAAATGTCTACACATGCTTTTCAAATTTCATTAAATCAAAGGCTAAGTTATTATATACAATTGAATGTAACTCTGATGTACCTTGACCGTATCGAGGACTAGAAATTGACCTTCAGTGCTTCTGCAACCTCCTCAAAGAGCATGCTTCGCAATTGGTAAAAGCATCAACAGGGCTATTTGCAGCCAGAAACATCTAGAACGTGACGAGGCTCCGTTGCTGTATAAATAAACGGTCGACAGGAGTGTCTTTTGCGCATTCTGGCCTTCACAGCCGTATTGTCCCTTGCGGAAACTCAGATTAATACAGCGCACAGCTATGGATTCAGAGGTTTCATTTAGAGACTGATCTTTGCACTCTATGTCGTCTGGTAGAATTATTTTAACATTGGTCGGATTCCCATGAAAAATGCATTCAAATGAAAAATTGTCTCCTTCATTCACAACCATTCGTATAATCCGATGTCCTTGTTGAAGCAATTCTCCGTTGGCTAACACATCAACTTTCAATTCCATGTGTCGCCTTAGAGGACGGACTACAGATTCTAGCACTCCATTTGGATAAATTAGTGTAAGATTGAGCAATCCGTTTTCATCAATTGTTGACCGATTCAACGGAAAAAATTCTCCAACTCCTTCAAGCATCCAGGCAACCGGGTCTCTAGTTGAACTGTAATACCATAGAAACTGCGTTTTATCGGGTATCGAAATTTTGGCAATGTTAATGGGTCTTATATGAAGAATAGTATCGGAGATCTCAATAATGTCGATGTCAAAGGGTGAGTGCTGGGTTAGAAGGTCGAAGTTGTCTTGACAGAGCACCGTAAAAGTGTTAAAGAATAGGAAAAATAAAAGAAATGGATTCCGGTGCGGAAGAACCATTATCGTGGAAATTGGCTCTATTTATCCAATAGCTTCTTGCATGCGTTCTACTGAATCAGGTCGTGCTAAAGCAGCGGCGTGCATCTCATTTGCACCGTGATGTTTTCCATTGGTCATTTGTGAATGACCTTGGTGTGCAAACTACCAATCATAAGCTAGTTGATTTAAAAATTCCTGCTCTTAAGAAGCAACATTTTTTTATCTCAAATGATTACTTATTTGCATTCTTTTTCGTTTAAAGTTTGATGCTAACTTTACATTTTGCAATACTTTGAAACATGGATGACTTTGAAAGGTATAACTAAAGTTGCATGAACCAAAGATTTATCTAGACAAATCTCTACCATTTAGCCATTAACAATACTACGTTACATGCCTTCATCTAAGTTTTCTTGCACTTTATGTAATGCCTTTGACCAAATTCTGGTATGGGTTCCGAAGATTGATTGGTGTAAAATAAAACAAAACTACCGACATAAAACTTCAGTGTCATTTAACAAACTACATGTTTTCGTAAGCACCACCGACTCACAAAGATATAGAGTTATAAAATTTTGGATCCTCGAATCAACGGGGGTACTGATTTGATAGCAGGTAAGTTATTTTCAGAGGAAAATTATCTTAAGTATAAAATGTTGCACCGCATGTTCCCAAGTCGGGAACTGATGAAGCAGAAGTAAGTTTCGTATTATTTTGTATTCTCGATGTTATTTCGAGAAGAATTGTTACTTCTTCGGTTTGATATAGTATGTAATAAGTTATAGCTCTGTTTGCGGGTGTTAGAGAAAATCTCAGCTCGCGAAAAGTTTGGGATTGAAAGTTATGCTTAAAATTGGGACATTTTGTCAACAATGCCCAATTATTAAGTGGCTGCCACAAACTAGCGCCTTTCGTCAGCTGGGTTCGGAACCAACAGACTTACTTGACTCTGCATGTCTAGTGGAATAGGTGCACATGCAATTCAGTCCAGGCATCTCATCAGATGTCGTTTTTATCGTCATTTGACAGTCCTGCCAACTTGGAGTGTCAATTTTAGACCTCTTCTAGTGGCATTTCAATTAGCTATATATTCAAATGAAAAATATTGCCTATTCGCAAACATGAAAGCTTCAGTTACTCGAGTTTGAGGCAAAAAAACCACTGATGAAATTCATTATGTACCAATAAATTCTCATTTAATGAATAATGTAAGTCCACATGAGTTTCAGTCGCTAAACCCTTTCCTTAGATCAGCTTTTTACGTTTTAAATGCTTATTGTAAACAGCGATGACTTCGAAATGTACTTCTAGTCTGAATAGTAGATTGCGTGTGTACCCCATACAAACTCCTTGTCGAACTTTGAATACGCAATTAGCATACTTTCTGTAACGAGCCACCAATTCTGTACCACAAAACTTATTAATCCAACAGAAAATGTTTGTATGAAACAACGGGGCTTTCATGTACGACTATTAAAAATTAATCTTTGTGCAGCTGTTTCACAGCTTTGGGCTTGGAGTAATTTCCTCATTAGGGTTCTGGAGTACACGAAGACTAGAAGCAATCAAATCATGTGTCGGTCCAGTGAAACAAGACCGTGTGTGAGAATGACTACCTCGTCCCTTAATTTAACTGGCCTGAAGAGTTTTCCATCCCAAATTCGGACATTGTTGAACTGAGACGTTTCTATTCAACTGTTAGTAGCACTCTCAATTACCAAAGTACATTATTTTTGCCAGCTTTTTGGATTAATTGAAATGACTTTTTTCATATCAGACGTAGTATGCCTTGTGGGGTTTTCATTACATTGCACATTCTGTGAATGGTAAGAAAGTGCAACGGTTTGCTTAAATTGCAGCACGTGTAAGGATAAACTCCAAAACAATTCTTAAAACCAACCATTTTTTTTAATCACTTTTTCGCAAAAGGGCACGATTTTGTGGTGTGCAAAATATGTCTTTGAATTGGGTGATTTGTTCTCAAAAAAATTAAGACTGGCTAAACATTCTATAGGCCGGACAAATTCGGAAAGTGTTTAAACAAGGCGACAAGTTACCAACTGTTAATCGAATACCTAAAGTATGAATGCAAGTAAATTCATGAAAAAATATATACTACGAGTTCACTCTTATGAATTCAAATTAACTCAGGAACATTGAACTTTAATTATATCAATAGTGCTATTTTGATTACTGTGACTGGTCACATTTCTAAGACCAATTTACTGCCTCACTATCGGTTGAAACAAATTTCTGTGGCTTTCAGATGCCCGCACCTCGTTTTTTGACCTCAAGAGGGTGAGCGTTGACCACACAGCGACCCGGTTGCGATAATTAGCACTGTCGTCATTACGTACGTGCAGGGTGAGTGTGATGACGGCACTGCTAAAAACAGTTCAAGAAAGGGATTCACTGTGAAGGCACTTGTGACTACTTCAAATCATCTTAATTTCCAACGTCGGCAGCCGATTGTTTCGTGTGTTGGTCTTGCTGCAATTTTTGTTTCATATCATGGAGCAAGTAGAACAATTCCTATTCAGTCGGACCAACTTTATTTTTGATAGGACTGTGACTAATACATTTGAGACTTCATCATACTTTTCTTTGCTTCAATGAAACATGTAACAGTGGACCAATGCATTCTGGAGTTATTCGGCTATTTTGTGGATCACGTCTCATGGGATTTTACTAAATTAATATTTGCAGCATGGGTTGCTCGAGGCCTAGAAAGACATGTTAACAAATTTCTTTGAGATTAATCGTTTTTTAAATACCTGTCCTTTATTATTAAAAGTGACTTAAATTGTTAACAAACCACAACCTTCAAAATGATTTTCAAAGCAGGCAGTTGAGTATACTTGCTACTTAATTCATTCAGTAAAGTAATATAAGTCTCTTCATAGGAAATTTCCGGTTCATGTTACGCATGCAGATGGTGCCTTGATTTATTCAAACATTTCTTCATCAAGTTAGCAGAGTAATTCCTCTTACCTATAAGCTTGTATCAATATAGCATGGTCTTTTCTTACTCATTGACGGGTAACAATTCGTGTAAACTATTTTGGACTGCATAACATTCCAACATGCTTGAATTCACAGTTTAAATTATTTAATGCAGTTTTTGCCACACACGTTGGTTCCAACGATGCTGCCAAATGTTAAAATATCCAATAAGCAGTACCTTCGAAAATGTGATCCAATTTGACCAGCCACTTGATCGTACAACATGACTATAGTGATGATGTTGGTGATAATCAGATGTGCTCAAGAAATTTCAAGAAGCTTCCTTGCTAAACATGAATAAAGTGGCCTTGATTTTGCTTCTTCATTCTTTTACATAGGAATTTTCGTCCACTGAATTGACTGTAGGCTGCGCGTAGGATTTATGCTTGTGGAACAGACTAAGTGACAAGGCCTTGAGGCTGGATAAAAGTCGAGTCTACTAATTCCGGTCTTCTTCACCTCCTCTGGGCGCTTTGTGTGACAGTTAGCCACAGCAATCTGAACTGTCGAAGCTGTCTACAAAGTAGCTAAAATAACTTTATGTTACCCACGAGTCCTCTGTAAAACCAAAAGTAAAGCAATCACAGGCACGCCTTTCTGCAAATTCAGTTTCGCTTAACAATTAGCGGAAATGGTGCATATCAAACACCACCACGCTATTTAGAGATCCGTGAGTCCACCAACTGTTCACCAGATTCGAGTGTTCAATGTCGAGGGATTCGCAGCAACCACCAACAATGAGCTACTTCACTCAAACTAACCCAAGCAAAAAGCGTCTCATGACCACGCAGTACTCCAGTTTTGCTATCACGATCAGCATGGACATTTAGAAGCGATTTTCGCCAAAGTTTTGTGAAAAAAAATTTCACGGAGAAATGCTTTTCAATCTTAATGTAGAAGCCACGTAAATGCACTATTACTGCAATTCATGTTTTGGTGCCCTCAAATCGGCAACCCGCTTCTCGTCATCACGAGAATCCCAGTCGAACTTCTGCCCTCAAGCCATCGGGAGTTCGTTGTGCCCTTCGTTTGTGTAAGTGTGAAGGATTGTCAAAAGCGTGACCTGGTCGAAGGCCGTTACGATAAAAATCAAGAGTCTGGAAGTTGGAATTCACTCATACTCCCTCCACAGGAGGACAAATCCACGGGATTCACTTACTACTATAAGTTTCTACCACAGAACTAGCCACTGAATGCATTCGCGTTGCCTACGCAGACACGAATTAAAATCCACAGTTTGTATCATGTACACCACAGGATTCTTATTCTTTCACGCAAACAACTCTTTCAACAAATGGTAGATTTGATTTAGCTGCATGGTAGGCGAGAGTGCACAGCCAATGAGTAGAACTCGTGTGGGGAGGTAAGTGGTCGCCGCATCAAACTAGTCCCGTGGAGAGCCCTCAGTTCAGCAACATAATTCACTCCAATTTTACGGGTTCAATTTAGCAAACATAAATGAACTCTACCGCACCCGATTGTGTCGCGCTTGTGGCCTCCCTCGCCACCCCATCCGCCCCACCCCCCTTTCCCGCTTCGTCGTGGCAGCGCGGCTTCACCACGTGTGCCGTCGGCCCCTTGCGGTGCCAGCTGGCATCGTAAATTGCGTGCGCGCGCGCGCGCTTTCAAGTGCGACGGAGGTGAGGGGGGGAGAGGAGAAGGGGTGCCGGCCTCTGTCCCGGTCTGCGACCACGTAATTGAACCGCTATTCCGGACCACCCCGAAGGGACACGCCCGGGGCGACCAGTGGCCCTCACCACTTCTGCTGATGGACGGGCTGAAACCACGTAAGCGCAGTCCCGGGCAATAGTTTGCCCTGAATTAGGCATTTTTGACCTGAAGACAACCGATTCGGGGAGTATGGTTGTACGGCTGAAGCAAAACATTAAGCTATGGACGGGAACTTAACCCTTTGGCACTGAAATTGACCTTAATAAAAACAAATCACTGCAAGGTGAAGTACACATGAATTTTCGAAATGAAGGAATCCATGAGGGCGAGATTTTGGCTTAATTTCTACTACCGTGTGCTGAACCACAGTGTATGCTCTGAAGAGGCGAGAGGCCGGAAACTGGATCACCACAAGTGTCATAGTTTATTGCACTTACATGTGAATTCAGCAAAATGAATCTGCCAAGGCTTTGTCTGATTTTGGAATTAACCCCGCTTTGTGTGAGGTTTAGTCGCAGCACCACACTTAACAATTTATTCTCTTCTGCTTTTTCCTAAGTACCTCTCGATGGCTCCACAGGTACTGGAAAGTGCTTATCTGTGGACACGAGAGCACGAGGGATTTGAATGCAGACTGTGACTTGAGTGGCCAATCGCCTAGCCTGAACTGTGAGTTCACGCAGTCAGACAGCGGGGTTTTGTGTGAGGGAGAGCTCAACGGCCCTCCTCTAGGGTCAGGGTTAGTGCACATCCCTTGACGCCGAGATTGTGTGATGAAGATACCCAGATCACATATCGGGCATATCGGGCACATCCTCTGCCGTGTGATACCTTCACAACAAGAGTATATACTGACACATTCTGCAAAATGCCTCAACGGAACAAAACTTTTGATCAGTTTTCGACGTCTGATCATTGGCAGTCATAATGACAATCTTGCAAACGTAGCTTGGAGGACCCGTTGTTGTCGGGAGTGTTTGTCGGTCTGGACGTTGATCGTCAGATGAAGTAGAGTTGCCGATTTACCGTAGACGCCATGTCCACACCTGGGTGTCACACGTCCGAATTCGACCTCGACAAACTAACTTATGTTGCCCACCAAAAATCGATGGTCGTACCAAAACTTATTGGCGCCCTAAAGACTAGTAAACGCTTAACTGTATTGGAAGCTCTATCGGCCGCTTAGAGACGTTTGCACAACTCAAGTTTGATGTAAACAAAGAACGTTTCAACATCGGAATACCTATTTGTGAATCGAGTTTTATCGAGAGAAGATAACTCAAGGGTAATAGCTACCTAGTTTTACCATAACCATTACTGTGGTCCATGGGACCGCCTGAATTCTGTTGGTTTAATTGAATTTTAGAAAGCTGGGCCGTGTTAAAAGTTACGTGTTAGTGTGCCAGACCTCATTAAAACCGCTATCTACTTGTTCTGCTACATTTCTGAGGTCACATCAGGCTTGCTTACAAGATGTCTCATTTACTTAATCGGCAACAAATCTGGCTAACGGATGATGATGCCCAAGAAATAATCTTCAGTTTACAAAAAAACCTACAGCATTTCCTGATTGGATTCAACGTGAATTCTGGTAAAATGGCCACACCCACAAACACACACACGCTTCAGAACTACCCAGACCGCTGTTGTTACATGCTGTTCATTATCCCATAAACTATGACGTAACAACAAATGTGTTTATGCGTGTGTGTGTATGTGTTGGATTTACCCTTACGTGGCTGGCTACACCAGCCACATTGGAATACAGAAACATGCAGACTGGTGCCATTTGCACCAGATACCGCCTCCAACTTCATTGGAGTTCACGGAGGCTAGGAGACTTCCCAGAGCACTCAACTGCTCTCTATGGATGCCCACTAACACTAGCGTCAACCAATGTGAGGTTGTTGCCATTTGTCCCTACCGGCGTTGCACGCAGTCTCCCAGGGTTTCGAAAGATTTTTCATACATTAAAACTATTCCACAAGTAGAATGTTGTTCCCCGTGATTTAAATGTCGCCATCTCTCTGATCAAATATTCAATTCCCAGGCATCATAATTAGATTTGTCGGATGCTTTACTGATGATAAGATTTATTGTCAGAAACAAGGTTCCCGTTCCCGACCGTTTTCACTCAATCTGTCAGCTAAATGGGAGCTGCCGAAGGCCAATACCTTCAACTAAAATAAAAACAGATTAAGTACACTGCAGATAAGGGCAACTTCTTTCAGGGCGGCCATTTTTCACATCACAACATGCCTCTACACTTGGTCGATCACGGAGCAAAGAACGGTCGGGCGAGATGGGTTCCAAGCCTGCGTGCCCTGGGTGCGTTCCTGGTGCTCGGGTTGCCCGTTCATCACGTTCTACGCACGAAACCGTGCCTGCGCACATCTATGTGATTTATTGAGAACACACGGAGCCCTCCCCCATGCACAGGCGCAGTTCAATATTCCCGCCTGCCCCCGCCAGTCAATCCGCGTAGATCTGCTCTTCGCCAATTGGCTCAGTTTGCGGTGGACCATGCGATTGGCTGAATATTATCGCAGGCGCGAAATAACAGTAAAAATATCACCCAGGCGATTTTTAACGCGTTTGCCGCGGACCATGAATGCGTGGTTTCCATTCGGCTATGGCAATAATAGTGGAGCAGCCGATCCTAACACACAGCAAACTGCTGGAGAGCGGTCCTCGGATGGAGCTTACGATTCTTCAATTTCTAGGACGCCTCAGTTTTGGGGACAGGTTACTAAGGAGACAAACGCTGAACAACAGAATGCAGCCACAACAGTAACAACAACAGCACCGTTAATGTCAGCCGCCGCGGCTGTGGCTCAGAGCTTCTTCAGCGGGGCATCTGTCCAGTCGACAGCCCCTTTGAATTCGCTCCTCACAGTGGCAGCTGCGAACCAGCACCAAGTGGCTCCTACGAGAGTTGATAGTTTTGGGTCATCTAGACGCTCCCCTGAGAGTTCTGCGCCGTCTGAGCAGAGTGTTCCCTCCCCCCATCGGAACTATTTTTCACCCACCCTCGATGGCTACCAACAGGGATTTCTTCAATCTACAATTCCTAGGGTTGAAACCCCAAATCTACCACCACCTCCTCCGCCCCCACCGCCAAGTTACACCGTGGGAGGGATACCTTCCAGTGGGGACTCAAACCCTGGATCAAGCATGTCCGGAAATGTTGGAGGGTCTGTGGAACAGATATGGCCTTGGATGACCGTAGTTGGTGAGTGACCTCCATATCTAGTTCATTAACCTGAAATTGTTTATAGTGCTCGTTAACTTAACTGACCAATTCAAGCTTCAATTTAATGTTAAACACTAAATGCAGGTTAAAATAAGCGTGATCTTTAAATGGTGCATTTGCGACTGATGCTTAACGCTTGCGATTCGTTATAAAACGTCTTTTGGATGTTTTAAATGTCTTGATGCGATTTTTGCACGACATAATTTACTCTTACTTAGCAACCACATGCTGAGTACTGAAAGGAGTGTCTTTACTGGCATAATTAAATCACCTGTGGTTTATTTCGACTGGTGTAGGTGGATAACCAGCTGGAAGTTCCGGTAACGAGTTAGGATTTATTTGACTAAAATGTGTTCCTATTTAACGCAGTTTCGCCTTATTCAACATAGTTATCAGTAGGCCCAAGTTTGAAATTCATTTGAGGATTATAGCCGTAATTTGATCGTCGAAAGGGAGTTTTAGTGGAGGTTAGGATCCTACTAACGCCTCCTGTCAAAGCGCTATTATGTTCACTGGTGATGAAAGAGTCACCTAACTACTCCGACTCGTCCTCCTCCTCCTTCTTCGTCCCCTCTCTAACTAATGAATAAACTCGGTGCAAATATACATGGCGCAGGCTGCACATGTGATAAAACTTGATCCTGAATTATACTGGCTGAAATCTATCCAAAACAAAGAACCTTTCTCTATTTCTATGCCACTGAAAAGGAAAGCAATCTGGCACCACTTTGGCTGGATTAGTGTTGGATAAAAAGTCAACCAATGTTGCATTCAGATCTGTTCGGTTCGGTTTTGATGCTGACAGGGCCCCGGAAACGACTACAGGAATCTGGTCTAAGGCTTCTGCATTCTCGAGTTTCAGACGAGAATACGTGAACCAGACTAACCTTGGATGTAGGTACCCTGAATTTAGCTGTGTGAAATCTTAGATACAAAACCGAGAGGTATTTGTCGAATGAATTAGGTCGTGCCGAAGGATTCAAAGTTTGACCCCTTAAATGCTCCGGGAGCGTTGTCCAAGGAGACCAAATGATTGTGTGTGTGAGTGTATGCAGCCTGGTTAGACTTAGTAAGGCTTCAAATATGCATGTATTTTTGAACCTGGTTGCCTGAAAGGTGGTTCGGTGTACTTCATAAGATCTGATCCACCGGCATGTGCAGGTGCGCTTCAATGTGGCCCTGGGTTCGATCCCCAATTCAGTTTTAGTATAGGTTAAGGCGTCAAAGCCTTCTTGATGAGGTTTTACTCAGCAAACCAACTTCCAAAATACACTCACACAATTTCTTCCAGTATTTGATGTGGTCCGCTCATTTAGATAACAAAACACTGATAAATCTGTTTACCAGCCCGTGCGTCACAGCTTTACACGCAACTAAAGGAAGCATACCTTTAATAAACAAATTGGCTTGAATTCCATCACATTTTGAAAGCTGGGAATCAGTTTGTTCGCTGCCACGAATCCATCCCCACCGTGAATGGGGCCAAATGTCAGTTGGCATGCCAATAATGACCAAACCGTGAATTTGCGTCTTTTGTTAAACCGTTATTGCCATGCCTGGGGAATTCCCAGCATGCATTCTCCTAATGGGGGGGGGGGGAAAGACACCAACACACACACACACACACAACACCCAGCATATTCGATTGTGGGTGTGTGAGTGATAATTTATTGGTGTTCCTCCCTCGGCACTGGAGCGGTGCATCAAAGACGAATTGACTCGGAAATGTTAATTTGAAAACACAACGCCCCCCACTCCGCTTCCACAAGTCGTGCGTTGCCACGGGGATGTGCTCCCGCTTGGGGTGTTGTATTTTAAATTTGCGCTGTAAATTGCGCACTAAGGTGGAAGCTAGGCGATGGCGGTGTCTTTTGGTTAAACCATTCATTGCCACGACAACGCGATCGTAGTGGCTCCAGCCTGTCTTGTAAACTGAAACGAGGTTCTATTGCCTCCAGGGGTGTGATCCCGGAGGGGCAGCAACAAAAGCCATGACGAGGGGTTGCAGGTCGAAACAGTTGTTCAAATCTGGACCAGCGATTTCATGTAAGCCACAGTAGTGCTATCACCAGTGGTAGACGATTTCCTTGAACATCCCACGATGGGGTCATTAATTTCTGCACAAATTAGCCTATTAAAGGCGAAATGTCTTCCCAGTCTGATTTTTGTGCAGTAGACGCGCATTCCACCGCATTACATGTCAATACGCCTTGTGACACGAACTCACAAAACACTAAAGCCTCGGTTGAGGTTAGCATGAAAGATGGTCAAAGCCAGGCTTCACTTCTCTTGATGATAAAATTTTGACAAGATTTTGTGTTCACCCAAACTACGTCGTTATTTCCCAAAGTACACGGTCCAGGAAAGAAACGTGTGGCAAGGTGGTGTGCGCGCCTGCTAACCTGCGAACAGAAGTTCCTTCGCAGTTGGTTCAACCCCGATGTCTTAATAATTGCAAAATTTGGTGGATTTTCATGAACTTGAAATTGATTTTACCCTTCTAAAACATAAATTACTGTTCCGTAAGCGTTAGCATACTCTTTTAGACAAAGAGGTCGCCACCTCTGTGTGTCGCAATGTGTAAATGCATTCGTCACGTACTTGCAGGTATCATATCTGGTCATTTAACCGTTAAATCAACCTCTAATCTCCTCAGAAAATGACAATAACGTCTGACCTTTCCATCTTCGAGATGCGAGGACCTCTAGAATGATGTGACCTTTTACATTTTCTCTCGACCTCCAAACTTTCCTATGGTCTCATCTCAATCACAAATTAGTAACGCGTTATAGAGCTGCTGGTATTATGCTGACAGTGGTAACACTTGATAATGTTTGGTTCAGACAATTCGCGTCACTAGCTGCAGCCGTCCACGTGTTTATTACAATCAAACGATTCACCTTAAACCGTTATCATCCTATCGCCGATTTGGACGAGTTGCGAGCGTTTCCATTGGTCAGCTCACTTAATTATTGCTAGAAATTACCCATCGTACTTGAGATGAATAATTGCATCAGCCTTTTTTAACACGCTTTTCTTCCTTACGTTGAGCCTCTTGTACTTTCTCTGTTAATTTATTTTCACAGTTCTAACGAACAAACCGTCAGATGGTCAGCTGTATCACGCAGACCAACGAGGCTTCTGTATAGTAAAAACTCTCAAAAAATCCCAAGTTATAAGCTATAAACTTAACTGATTTTTTTCAGTTGATTTCTTTGAATTCACCAGTGCTGATTCGAGCTACTTATGAAGGAAGTCAGCTTACTTATGCTACTTATCTTTTTGGACGTTTTTAATGCTTTAATGTTAACCAAAACCAAATAAATCACTGAACTACCATCTCTGTACACTTACAGGGTGTGTGCGTGTATGCAAAGATCATGGCAGCTTCGTGTTCTGACAAGTACGGACTACCTCTTGGTCATTTTACTTTAACCCAGTGCCCACACTTATTCATGATGCGAAACGTAAAACCCTTCTCTTCCATTTTACCGTGACCCTTCACTTCTGGTAACGATGCTTAAATTCTCTTGGTAGCTTGCACGACCCGCGAAGAGACTTGAAAACCCAAGTTATCATCTGGGCACGGTGTACACCACCTGAAGATAGCATGTTCCATCTTCGCGAGATGAGCATTGATTTAAAAATTGCGCTATCAGGTCCTAAACTAATTTGGTGCAGCTTCTCTGCTCTTGGAAACCCAACTTGCAAAATTGATTCTAATAATATTTATTGGCGGTAATGCCATCATCTCAATCGACCTGAATAACTCCCAGAACATTCGGTAAGATGTATTGAGCAAGCATTTCAGTACTCCGCCTGTGCAGTACTACACTACTTGGCAAATCACAACTTACAGTTTAAATTAATGTCAATAAATCATTACAGGGTGTAAGCTTCAGTTTATAAGACAAAAGTTCTCCTGTTACTGGAGAAAAGGATTTGTGGCCTCTGAAGCTGTGATTAATAAGAATAGCATTGCTAGCATATAATTGTTGTTGATGGAATGAGGAAGCTGAATTTGAGTCTGGAATAAATGGGGCCGAAATGATTCACAGAAAGCGAGCCTGAGGTTTACGGCCGAGCTGCGTTCGGGCGTCCACCACCCAAGCCGTTGGCCTCGCTTATGCGCAATTAACCAGCCCTGATGGCCCATTGTGTCGGGGTTCTCAGGGGAATAAGATGAGCTGTGGGGGATTACGACTTCTTGAAAATAAATGCTGATGCTCTTATCTGTCCGTTAGTGTCTCGAAGCTCACATCCGCTTTCTCCATTGCAAATATTGGCATAAATTTAAAAGTATTGTGCATCATACTTGAGTTCCTTTGAAGCAAGACTCAAAAGTTCTGTGTCTCTGGCGCACTGCCGACTACGTTTGAAGCCGGTAAAGGCAGTTTGAGTGACTTTATATTGAATTCCATTGTTGCAAAGTCTGAAGGGTCTCTATTGTCGCCAAATGTATTTGTAAGTTTTTTAGCTAACCTATGGCTACTTATGACTGTTGAAGCGTTGTCTTGCAGCATGTAATTTGAACCCGTGCAATGAACAAGGTTTGCATACTAACCAGAACTAGGAAGTCGTCTATCTCGAATTCTTGAGGTGCATTTGTAGTCTTAAGTGAAAGTTTATTTTTCAAATTGAAATCCGTAGGCATGGATTGTCAAGGGTGCGAGTTTGGTAAAATGATGGTACAAATTGGCATTCAGTACTGTCACTTGGTAAACAAAACGTAAATCTCACCACAGTTGAATTCCCCTTTTCAGCAAATCTCAGCGTATTCGCAGGCTTTAGTGTGATTTTTTGGGCCTTTTATTGATCCGCTATGCGCCACATGAGCAGTCACCCCCCGAGTACGCGAATTGGGACAGCGGAATCCCCACCGCCCCTGCCCGTCCCACCTTTTACACCCGCCCATGTAGTCAATTCTTGACTTGCGAAACGCCGCAGCCGACAACTAGGCCGAATTAAAAACTGAATTTGGAGACCG